GTGGGAAAGGCTCTAAAACAACTACTTCTCTACCCAGCAACACTACCTTACAGGAGAATACCTAGATGGATGTGTGAGGACAAGGATTAGGGAAAGGCAACCCCAGTATTTGCAAATCAGCAAACTGAGAGGGAGAAGACGACATCGGTGTGGAGAGGTGGAACTGGGGATGGGGTTGGAGAGCCAAAGGCGGACGTCATGGTTCACAGCAACTCGTCTTCCCCGATGAAAACGGCACCATCCGCTTCACCTCACCAAACAGACTTGACTTCCAGCTCGGATTCCACTCAGGTTCCTAATCTGACACCTGCTGATGTAAAATCTCCCGTTCTAACAACAATAAAAGCGTTAAGCTTAAAGTCAAGCCCGGCATCTGTCGGGCCGTCTCCACAGACACCAGCTCCTGCTCAGGGTCTGGTCAATGGCCGGACATCGGGCAGAAAAAGGACTCCTAAGTCTTGTGACTGTTGTGGCCCTAACAGTGCAGGACACAATGTTGCGTCCTCTGGCAGAGGGAGGGGTACACCAAGAGGAAGGGGGAGAGGGAGGGGGAGAGGAGGTGGCAGAGGCCTTGGTGACACCCCTAAGAGAAAACAGTTGACAGTCATCAAGAACATAGATTTGACCACGGAGGAGGAACAGGAAACGAAGGATGAACGTAATGCACAGGAGACGCTGCAAGCGGCTCATACACAGTCACAAACCCCTGTTCTTACAGCCATCCAAGCAACCTCACAAGATGGACCAATAAGAAACTGTGCTGCTCCAAAGAAAGAGGTTGCTCAGGTAGAGGACGATGTGTCGATGCTAAGTTCAGGGGTCACTGGTGCAGTAGAGAAAGACAGTGGTGATGAGAAGGATGCGGACACGAAGCTGTCGGGGCAGGAAAACAGGGGAACGGGAGCAGTTAGAGGTCGAGGGAAAACCAGGACCTCATCGAAAATTGAACTTAATATTCAAATAAAAGGTAGAGGTCATGACACGAGTTCAAGAACAGGTGCCTTAGCTCAGTCAGCGTTGGTGGAAAAACAAGATTTGCAGATGGACCAAAACGACGCCGACTCTGTTAAATGTGTGTTTGGAAACGGAAACATGGTGAACTTATTTGACGTGGACAGAGAGATGGAGGACCACAGCATGATTGTGTGTGAGCCTGCGGACGAGCTGTCAGTCCCCCTGCTGTCAAGTCCCGGCTCGAGGTTAGGCTCTCTCCTGGACCTGGACTCGAAAATGCAGGTGGACCAGCCCTCTGACCAAACAGACCAAGTGTCTTTATCGTTAACGCTGCCCAATGGGAACCTTTCCCCACCAACAGACTGCGACCTTACGTCTTCACCTGTAAAGGTTAAACCTGCCGTGGTTCCCCCGTCAGACCCAATAACGGTGAGCAGCACGGAGTACGTCTGGGCATTAAGTGACCACAAACTGTACTGTCAGCCTGGAACCTGGGCAAAAAATGAGACTGAAGAAATGGTGAATAAAAATCAGGCTGAAGAAAAAGTGATGGATACAGATTCACAGACAAAGGAAAACCTGGAGCAGCTTATTGATAYTGTCCATGGTAAGATATGTATTGAAACACACTGTTTAAATGCAAGTGCCATTATTTTTTACATTCAGTAGGGAATTTCCAACATTCTCACAATGGTTTTAAACATACCAGTAATGTATTTTGTTAACGCAGATGTGATTTCTCCCCATGTGCTTGTTTTTGACCTATTGGACTGATTTGGCAAACTAAAATTACAGTTCAATTTATGTTTTTGTGGGTTGACTTCTTGATATGCAGTGTAAAAAACCTTTTTAGATTAGCAGGAAATGATAGGTTATGAAATTAGAGGTGCACCGACCCAATATATCTGCCCCAATTTCTTTAATTTTGGGAGATCAGGGATCGGCCAATACTTAGATGAGAATAGAGACTTTGATAAACATTTCACACTTWTTTTAGAGCTGCTTWTCCTTTTTGTAATTGTAAGGCTCTTTGTACTGATTCCAAAACCGAAGAGCTTATTAAGATCAGACCACCCTTTAAGGATTTAGAGTTCAATCAAAGGTTGAAAATTACAAAAGAAGTGCAGCATTACTTGCATAACACCATAAAAAAAACTGCGGAGCCCCGTAGACGTAGTGTGCGTCACAATTTCGCTACAAGTGTTCTAACCTAAGCAGAAAACCAACTAGGTAAAAACGTTTAGCGTATTTTCCGGACCAAAAGTCACTTAGGAGTATAAGTCGCAACAGTCCAAAAATGTATCACGAAGAGAAAAAAACATAGATAAGTCGCACTGACTATAAATCGCAGGACAGACATTTAATCTGGAAAAACACAACAACACAGAGAACATAGCTCTTACCTGGGATTCCGAAGAGCTTTAATAATCACAGACAGATGACACAACTTTACGTGAATTGTTTGCAACGACTGTAACTTTTTTCTTCACACGAGTTCAACTAAATGACATCCGCAGTAAGTTACCAAAAAAACGAGTTACCAACAACAAGCTAACATTGGCTTACYGTCCGCTGTCGTCCTGCCCTCTCGTCATTAGCCTCATATTGCTGAAAGGTCCCATASAGTCTACARTTCTTTTCCTTCGAGTTTGGTGTAGTTCRTTATTTTTGTGTTGCAAATAAGATTTACGCGTTTGAAATTTTTATCCCGGCTGGCGTCTACAGAGAGGCAGCTCTCTGTTCAAACACAGTCAGCTGGRCCCAATACATTCCAACGAAAAGTTACTGGTAAGTTCAACAATCTCATTCCCCTGGATTAGCTGCCTTCATTTTCTTCAGTGCAGAAAGGKAACCTCTGTTTTTGCCAGTCCCTCACACAAGTTACTCATTTRCTCCATACTTTCTGCTAACAACGAYRAYGTAACAACTWGGGGTGCAACAATACATGTAACYGTATCRAACCGTATCGAACAATACAGATTTTAAAAATTAACTTTATCAACATGTCTTCTGAAGATGCTCTGTGTTAAAGGATCAGTGGATCTGTGTTCCACTACTCCACCTAGGCTGCATTTTTGAGCGCAGGTCCACTGAGAAACTTGCTGTTTCAGCAACATTTAATTTWAAAACTGTACTTTTGAGGTTGAACAAACGTTCATAATTAATATAAATAAATTACATGTTAAAAGGGGCATGGAAATTTCTTTTTTGTATCGAAAAAAATATCGAACCGTGAGACTAAAGTATCGAACCGAACCGTGAATTTCCTGTATCGTTGCGCCCCTAGTAACAACATAAACTGCAGTAGACTAATCACAGACCTATAGAGCCATTTCATGACTGCAGACTCTAAGGTTTACTCCTTGGTTCATGACAGTCAGTATGAATCAGTTGAAAAATGCAGGACCAGCTAAACTATGAAAAAAGTGTGACTTCTAGTCCGAAAAATACAGTAGATAGATTTCTAAATAATATGAGGGGTGTCAGAGCATTAAAAATAGTGACTGAAGGTCACAGAAACACAGACTCACTGTCGGTGTAGGACAATGCTTTTGTCAAAGTGCCTAATGAGAAGCCGAYCTTATCCACCSATCTTATCWATGCRGGGTGTTCAAGGGTATTGTTCAATATTTTTCAGTAAAATAAGATTGGAACATTGAAGGTGTGTTGTGACCTTTAAATACCCAACAGTGTCAGTTATATAACCAAAAATAAATAAATTAATATCGGACAAAATCAGAATTGTAAAGGTCAGGCTTTTTAAAAATCGGAGATTGGCCAGAAAACTGCTGTCAGTGCACCCCTAAATGAAATGTTGTGGAGGTGGTACTGCCTTTTGTCTTATGCTTCAGGATAACCTTAGCAACAAACTGTTTGGTTCAGTGCATCATTTGCTAATTTTAAAMCACAGCTAAATCATAAATTCAGTGTTTTTTTTCCTTCTGAATCTTGTTAATGTTATCTGTGTTTGCTGTTTCTGTACACTCATATGGGATCTTTATTTTGACGTCCTCTGTCTCTCCTGAGTCCAAAACACTTTGCAAGCAGGGAGAGTTTTCTGCATGAGCTGAGTGGAGTGTGAGATCTGCTGTGGGGYATTTGGAATGTGTGAGGAAACTTACCCCGCAGTGATTTAGATGTGAATGACAAACATTACTATGACCATTTCTGCTGTGATGTTGGCATTTAAAATATCTTGAATGGAAAAAGTAATAAAACATCAAATATTTTAGAGTGAATGTAAATGTAAAAAAAAATAATACAAAGGTTCCATTTTACTTTACAGAACCATATTATGGAGCAGCAAACAGAAACACAACACAAATACGTGTTCTTCACATTCTGTTCAAAACTGTAACTTTGATACTGATAACGAATAAATCTTTCTCTCTTTTAGAGTTTTTGGAGAGCTCTTATCTAAAATACGGCAGCTTCGTTCCTCTCAGTGAATCCGATGTCCTGGAACACCTGAAAAAGAATGGCAACCCTGACATTAGCAGCAGGTCGGTACACACAAACACGCAGGAATCATTTCAGCCAGTTTGAACTCTGTTGTAGAATCCATGAGTAGTTGTTGATGCTTTTGCACACATTTTCTGTAACAAAAATAAAATGAGAAAAACCAAACTGTATTTTACACGATATTGTTAAAAACTGAACTGATGTGTTTGCCTGGTTGTTCATTGTTGATTTCTTCATCCAAACCTACCATTTTCATGTAAATGGCCATACAGATATGTTATTAACAAGACATAAACTTTGTACTTCCTTTCTGCATGCCTGTCTTCTGTCTTGTTTTAGTGGACTGGACGTTAAAGGAGAAATGACTCGGTACATGGCGGCGTTGGCGTCTGCTCCTGTTGCAGGTTTCATGGTCACGAATAATAAACACACACTGAGCCTGGAGGACCTCGGCACCCTGGAGGATCAGAACTGGCTCAATGATCAGGTGAAGAGAGGGCAGACRGGTTTCCAGCTAAGACAGGACTGGGCAACTTTAATGATAGAAGAGGACACAATGGTTTATTGACACTACCAGAGGGCCACATARCTCTGTACACTTACCCAATAAAACTGTCATTTAAAAAATGTTTCCGTAGGGATGCACGATAATATATCGATATTGGCCAATGTTGATAATTTTTTAGCATATTGGTATCGGTCCGAAAAGTAAAAATGTCCGATATTGATTCCCACTTGTTGCAGTTTTTGTTTTTGGAGGGGTAATCTTTGGTCGAGCAGTATCTATTTGGTCATGATAGTGTTAGTGATGCTGCAAAGCCAGTAATAACTGAAGTAGAGAGCCATGTCAGCAGCCTAGTCGTTTTTTACAGTATCGAAAAATGACACAAGTCTGTTTGTGGGTAATGTATAGAAATAGTTTGTGTATTTATGTAATGTCTGTAAATATYGGTTATCGGCCATAACAGCAATAATAATATCGATATCGGCTAAAATTTTCATATCGGTGCATCCYTAGTTTCAGTAAACTGACACAAGTGCAGTAACGTAACATATTTCATGTTCAAATGCATGGATAACAGTTGTATCTTTATGAATACAAAATGTTTGAAGAAGCTGAAGTGCAACAGGATAAGATGTCTTGAGTACAGACAGATTCCTGCRTGGTTGTAGTTCTGGTAAAAAGTCTGTTTATGTATTTGTGACTTCAGTAAACTTCTCATATTTAGCTTTGTGCAACGTGTTGTAGTGACGACTTATATTAGAGTCCTTAATGACAGACATCATCTCTAAGCAGACTAAATACAGAGGTTTGCTTTGAAGTTCTATGAGCAGATAGTCTACCTCCTAAAATAAAGTGTTTATTTTTTTTACTTAAAAAGGACTCAAAACAGCTCTGCCTTGAGATATTATTATTA